AGGTCTTCCTGGTTTCCGAGCCAACGCACTTTTCTCCATCCTGCCCCTTTGAAGGGCGGACAGCAGTTATGCAACTTGTGTGGAGTAACATGACAACACACAGCAGAGGGCTCCTCCTGCTTATTTCCACTACGCTTCTCAGGCCTGTCCGCCAGGCTGCTCCGGCTGACCCCTCTGCCGGGGCTGCCGGGCCCGGCTCATACCTGGAGCTGATCGGCCGATACCTGGAGCTGATCGGCTGATACCTGGAGCTGATCGGCCGATACCTGGAGCTGATCGGCTGATACCTGGAGCTGGTCGCTGCCCTTCCTGCTTCCAGGGCTCGCTGCTGGCTGCAGCTGTGTTTTCTCAAGCGCGCTCTGCGAGGTAGAACTGGTTCTTCAGTGAGCCACGGCTTCCATTGCCAAAGACAGACGTTTAAGAAGTGCCTCGTAAAACCAAGTTCAACAGGCTGCTTTCCTGAAGGACTTCCAGAGCCTTTAATACACCGATGTGCAGGATAAATTTATAAGAAGGGAGAATTAAAATGCAAAGAGTGGGAATTTATTATTGGGAAATGGAGAGCCATGCAGCTAGGCCTTGAGCAGGAACTGAAACCCAGGACCGGAAAGGCAGTTTGTGAAATTCTGTCTCCAGTTTTTTTGGGTTGTTTTTGTTGTTTTTCCCCTACTCTGCCCTCTTTCCATGCATTCTACTTCATTTTATTTTTCCTTTTTTTCTTTTTTCACCTTCTCCCTGATGTTTTAAAAAATTATGGTAAAATGCACATAACATCATAGGAACCATCTTAACTATTTTTAAGTGTGCAGTTCAGGGGCCCTAAGTACATTCACATTGTGCTACTATCCCCACTGTCCAATGTGTAGAACTCTACAAGTTGCAAAACCAAAACTCTGTTCCCTTTAAATTTTTTTAAAAATTTGTTGATTTATTTTTTTAGAGAGAGATAAACATCAATTTGTTGTTTCACTTATTTATGCATTTATTGGTTGATTCTTGTATGTGCCTTGATCAGGGATCCAGTTGGGATGCTCTAACCAACTGAGCCACCAAGCCAGGGCAACTTTGTCCCCTTTAAACACTAACTCCCCCTCTGTCACCCCTTTGGCCCGGCAACCACCATTCTACTCTTTGTCTCGATGAATTTGACTGCTTTAGGTACCTCATATAAGTGGAATCATACAGTATTTGCCCTTTTGTGACTGCCTTATTTTACTTAGCATCATGTCCTTTAAGCTCATCCACGCTGCAGCATGTGTCAGAATGGCCTTCCTTTTTAAGGCTGAGTGATAGTCCATTGTACGGATGGACTACATTTTGCTTATCAATTCGTCTGTCCATTGATGAGCACTTGGGTTGTCTCTACCACCCTGAATTTGTCTTCTTCTTTGGTCCACAGGTAGGTAGAAAATGCCCGGCTCTCAGTTGTTTGTTTTACTGGCAGAATCATTGAACAGGAAAAAGAAACTAAACTGATGATTTCCTTTCTGGCTCCAGCCTCTTCTGCCTCACTTCTTACCTGGCTGCCCCCCTGCTTCTCTCGGCCTCCCTGCTGGAAGGCACCATGACTGTCAGGGAAGAGCTGATGTTGCAGCTCAAGTCCAGAGACCTGGTCACTCCTGGTCTCTCCTCTGAGCTCCTTTTGGGCACCCTGAACTGTCTGTGTTATTCTCCCCTTATCTCCCACTTTCCTTGTTTCCCCATGGACTTTTCCTCTCTGTGTCCTGGTGCCTGACCCAAGTGGGTGCCCCCTGCAAGCAGAGAAAGAAACAAAGGTGCTGTAGGACTAAAGAGGCTCTGGCCCAAAGCCTGGCCACCACGGCTGTGATGGGCCCAGAGGGGCTTTGACTGGATCCTCCGAGCTCACTGGCCACTTGCGTCTCTCTGTTCTAAGCATGTGTCGTTAAATGTGGCCTCCCTTTAAGTGGAACACCCACGGAAGATAGAGAAATCTGCTGAGTATGCAAAGATACCCAGTTGTTCTTCTCTTTCCCATAGGAGGATGGTGGGTTTTGGTTCAGTAATATTCACTCCTCCCATGTCTCACCCCTAATTTTGAAAGGGGGAGGTGAGAAATCAATCCGGAATTTCCCCTGTAAGTTTACATGAACAGCTTTGTAAGGGAGTGACCCTCCTAGGCCTTCACATCCATAAAGGGTGGGTAGGAGAGGAGTTGGTCATTGTTGACTGCCCGTCCATACCAGGTGTTTCCATGTTACTGTAATCTGCCGGTGGCTCTTGGGGGGATTTCTTCATGCCCCCAAATTAAGGAACCTGCTCAAAGCTCCAGAGCTAGAATTCAGATAGATGGAGTTGGCTGGGATGGCTGGCTCTAGAGCCTTGGCACCATGTGCCCCACTGCTTTCTTCCTCCGCCCCCTCCACACACACTGCCTTCTCCCATGCACCCCCTCCCCACCCCCTCCTCACATAACCGGAGGTGACTCTCTTACTGCACAGGCTGGATGGAGGTCGTTACTAGAAAGTGCTAGGACTGGGAAGGGTCTGGTTCTCCAAACTGAGTGATGATGGAGACTGGCAAGTTCAGTATCTGCAGGGCAGGTTGGCTGGAGACTCAGGGAAGAAAGAGTTGATGTTGCAGCTCAAGTCCAGAGACTGTCTGGAGGCAGAATTCTTTCTTCCTGGGAGGACATCAGTATTTTTCTCTTTAGGCCTTCAGAGGATTAGGTGAGGCCCACCCACACTGTGGAGGGTAACCTGTTTTTCTCAAAGTTACTGACTTAAAGGTTAAGCTCATCTAAAAACTACCTTTACAGCAACACCTAGACTAGTGTTTGACTGTGTTTGGTGCCAGTGTGGGTAACATGGCCTCACCAGGTTGAAGTATTAGATTAATGGCCACATCTACTTAAGTGCCTGGGAAGAATGATAGCGCTAACAGATGGGGAAAGCCAGTCTCTGCCTCCAGGAAGCGAGACTACACATGAAAAAATTAAGACCACCACCATTGATATTTAGGTGCTGTGTTTTAAAGACAAAGTGTAAAAAGTATTTAGAGGAAATGAGAGGGGTTCTAGGTATTTTTACCATAAGCATTTTCACTGCAAAAATTTTGCTGTAAGGCAGTTTCACTCTAAAAGATAAAAATAGCTAGTTGACAGTTCGGTTTACATTTTGGCAGGCATCATGTATTTAAGGTAGTTGTGAGTTTGGTTTCATTTCTCCATTGACAAAGTTCTCACATTTACTCTCATTTTTATATTACATAAATCTCAGCCCTCATAATGGTCTATACAGTGACAAGGTCATGTGGTGGTCTTAAAATAGTGGATGGTAACAAGTATGTATAAAGCAGATTACAAAACTGCGTGTGAAGCCAGATTGCATCCTATTGTAGAAAATGATCACGTATCAGTTTACAAATCCTTTGGGGACCATAGTCAACCCTCACACCTGTCAGCACCAAAAGTTTATCAAGCTTTGCAAATAGCAAAGAGTTCACTACTGATTCACGACAGTCTTCAAGAGCATTATTGATTTTTTAGCTGGAAACTGACACCTCTTGCAAAGAAGGAAGAAATTGTAGCAAAAAAGAAAAGGTGTGATGCCATATGAGGAGACAGATCAACAAGCAAATAAACATATCATACTAAAGACTTGGAAGACAATGCGTTTTCATTTTGTGCAATAAAGTTTTAAATTTTTCATGTTTTATTGTGTCTTTTTTAATGTCCCTCTTTTATTTTTTAGTATTTTTTACAGCAAAATTGCCTTGTGGCCAGTTATAGTGCCACAAAAATGATTGTGGCAAAGATGTTACAGCAAAATGCTTATCGCAAAAATGCCAGGCATGGGCTGGAGAATTCTGGGGCAATTTCATGGTAGGGGCTATACAGGAGCTTTCAGAACATGGAGGTCTCAGATAAGTGAGGACATGGAAGAGTTTAGAACCAGAGTGGGAACAATAGGATAATAATAATGATACTCAGTTTTAAAAAAAATATGTTTTTATTGATTTTAGATAGAGAGGAAGGGAGAGAGAGAGAGAGAAATTGACGAGAAAAACATCAATCGGCTGCCTCTTGCATGCCCTCTACTGGGGATCAAGCACCACCCAGGCATGTGCTCTGACCAGGAATCGAACCAGTGACCTTTCGGTGCATGGGACCATGCTCAGCCAACTGAGCCACATCTGCCAGGGCAATACTCAGTTCTTATGTTTGACTAGGTAGGTCTCTGAGTTTATTGAAGATTTTCATGTGCAGTGCTTCATTTAATGCTCATGAAAACCTGTTTTGTATTTTTAAATTTATCAATTGCAGTTGACATTCAATATTATATTCGTTTCAGGTGTGCAGCGTAGTGGTTAGACATTTATATAATTTATGAAGTGATTCTTCAGATAATTCTGCTACCCACCTGACACCATACATAATTATTACAATATTATTGACTCTCTTCCCTATGCTGTACTTTATATCCCCAGGACTATTTAAAAAAATATATGTTTATTGATTTTAGAGAGAGAGGAAGGGAGAGGTTGAGAGAAAAACATAGATTGGCTGCCTCCTGCATGCCCCCTACTGGGGATCAAGTGCGCAGCAACCCAGGCATGGGCCCTGACCAGGAATGGAACCTGCGACATCTCCGGGTATGGGAGGACACTGAACCAACTGAGCCATACGGGCCAGGACTATGTGTTTTTGTTTTTTTTAATAGAGGATCTCGAGGCCCAGAGAGGTTAAGGGACTCATCAGAGGTCACACAGCTTGCCAGTGGCTGGGCAGGTCTTCCTACTCTGAATCCTGCCCCTCATCCTTACCCCCATTTGCTGGGTATAATGAAATCCTTGTGAATGTGTGTATGCCTGGGAGGGAGAAGTGACGCGTGAGCAATCCAGGAAGGAGGGGATCAGTGTTTTCTTCACCAAGAAATTTTGTGAAACTGAAAATGGACTGTTTTCTCTCACTCTCTCTGGGTCTTCCCTCTTTACCACCCTCATTAACACCCCTCTTTTCTTGTCTTGCTGTCCTCCCCCAGACACGAATGCAGAGTTTGAATCCAGATCCCAAAGCCCAGTACACAAGCATCTACGGAGCCCTCAAGAAAATCATACGGACTGAAGGCTTCTGGAGGCCCTTGCGAGGGCTCAACGTGATGATGATGGGCGCAGGGCCGGCCCATGCCATGTATTTTGCCTGCTATGAGAACATGAAAAGGACTTTAAATGCTGTTTTCCATCACCAAGGAAACAGCCACCTAGCCAACGGTATTTGAAAGCATTTGTCTGGAGTTAGAAAGTTCTGTCCTCAACAGACCCTTCCCCAGGGTTCTCCTCCCTGTGACCCAGCAGCCTGATGCCTCGTCTCCGCCACGCTTGCTTATGAATAAAGAACTCTAGAGTCGTGTGTGTGCGCACACACCCAAACACACGCACACGCACACACATGCTTTTTTCAGTTCCCCTTCTTCGCTTTTTGGAGCCTGGGGAAATTGGTGCCAGAGGTGTTTCAGTTTTCATTGTTGTGTGGGTTTTTTCGTTTTGTTTTGTTTTTGTTTTGTTTTTTTAAACATTCAAAAGCCATTAATGATCAGATCTAGGAAAAACACCCTGAATAGACACAAAACTTTTGAATGCTGGATTCCAAAACAAAAGTTATCTGGACAGCTTCTTTGAGACTATTTAAAAACTGGTTCAACAGGTCTCTACAACGTCAAGATCTAACTAAGCTTTAAAAGGTCAAGAAGTTTTATGGCTGACAAAGGATTTGCTCCAGCGCAGACGACCTTTCCCACCTTAAGCTTCTGGGGATTTGGGAATTTCGCCCCCATGCTCTTCTGTTTGTTTGAGTTGCATCTCTCTGCGATCAAGGGCTGACATAGTTTTCTTTTGTTGTGTTGAGGGAGCTGGGTGGGGGCTGGAGTTTGGAGCACAGCTCTTACCCAGACATGTCTTACTGGGCTCGCTGAGTGGTTATTTTTGCTTCCTGTTTGGGGTTTGGGTTTTTTGGTGTCTGTTTGGATGTGGAATGGGACTGTGGATGCAGTATACGGTGTTCTTATTTTAACAATTAATTGTTAAACAATGGAGAGGTGGATGTGACCAGCAACAGTTTTTTCCCTTCTCTTTATGTTCTGCTCAGAACTCACAAGTGTCCCTCCCATCAGCCAGCCTAGGCAGTAATAACTATAGCTGGCTGGTTTGCAGACATCTGTTTTGCTTTTTAAAAATTGGGCGTTAACTGCATTTATTGAGATGGTCTGAGGCCGTCCCTGAGTCCAAGGCTCTCCTTTTGCTGAAACTGCCTTATGTAATGGTTTCACTCCTTGGTCACTGAACCCCTTGACTGTGGTTTGATGGCACTCAGTTTATGCCAAATTCTGCCCAGTGCGTTAACTACTTCCCTGTGGTGTGCGCTCTGGTTGCACTTTGATCTTTCTGGGGATAGTCATAAGTGTGTGTAGAGGGAGGGGGTGTATGTGCACTCCTGAAGCCTTATCCTGGGGTCCCTCATTTCTTTCACTTTCCAGCGGGGCAATCTTAATTAGTGGGCAAGTGATCCCCAGAGAGAGGAAACCCAAATCCAAGAGCAAAACCCCAGGCCTGAACCAGGCTTTTGAAATTCCTGGTCCTTGAAGCCAGGTGATTGGGTCAGCCATCTCCAAGACAAGTTCTGTCTTTGCAAATGGACCCTGAAAATCTACCACGTGCAGGTCTTCCTCTTCCCATGCCCATTTGCTTAAAAATGCCTTGGTTTTATTAAGAAATTTTCTTAAGGATTTCTTTTCTGGCGGTTTCTCTCTCCCAGCTGTGTACATGATGTTGTTCCCTCTGATTGACCCAGCGTAAGGGCAGAGTGAGTTCATCGGTAGACAGAGGTGAGGGACAAGCTAGAATTTAAGCCTAGACAGTGGGAAAAGCCACAAAGTGGCATCCAACATTAGCAGGTTGAACCTTTGCCCAGGATTGACTACCAGAGAGAAAATGAGGTTTCTACAAGATGAAAACGTGGGTACCTGTGCTTGTTCCCTTCCGTGTTTTTATCTAGTGTTGCCATGATTACTTGAGGGTTTTAAGGGTCAGTGCTCACCTGGGTGGAGTTGGTAGTGAATTTTTCTGCTTAGAAAACTGCGCCCAGGGTTCCGTCTGATTTTTAGGTTCCAGGAACTTTCTCAGAGCGCCTGGTCCCAGAGGGTAATTTTCTGGAGTTTGTTTTACAGGGATAGCTGGGAGTATGGCCACCCTGCTCCACGATGCAGTAATGAACCCAGCAGAAGGTAATGTTTCATGGTCCCAGGGAGTGGCAGTGGGGATGCCAAAGGGGCAGAAAAAATGGGGGTGGGGTGGGGGACGGACAGAGGTCAGGCAAGGGGACTCCTGGCCCCCAGCAGAATAAGCAGACACACACACACACACTTACCTCTGGCCTTGTCAACCTTCCTCAACCCTAGACAGATTTTAGGGGGAATCCATCAAAGGTCCTTCATGGAGGCATATGTTCAATTTACTTTTTTAAAAGAAAGTTGAAATTATGGAGAATTTCAAACATTTGCAAATGTAGAGACGAGAGTATTTGAACCCTCACGTATGCATCGCTCTAGCGTTAGAGAACAGTTCTCAGCTGTGCGGACCTGAGTTCCATCGGCTTTTTCTGTGTCCTGGTGGCCCCAGCAGCCTGGGTCTGAACAGCGACGCGCCTTGGGACCTGGTGCTGGCCTGCTTTCAGCTGGGTTAGGCTCTGTGAGATGAGGGGCTCTCTCCCCACCTTTCTCCCCCACAAAACAGCCCCTTTCCAGAAGGGAGAATTAGAGGTAAAAATGTCAGCATTTTAAGTCTTGTCTTACAAGTTTGTTTTTGTTTTTTGAGGTTAAGATTTCTTATTTGTACTCAGCTGCCTCCCGCGCCCTAGCAGGCAGGGCACTTGTTCTGTCCTTCAGGGACGTGACGGGTGCGACTGGGAGGTGGGTTTCTCTCTCGTGTGTGTTTAAGGCGATTCATACAGGGACCTGGTCAGTGACCAGTTAGCCCACGCCAACCGGGCAGGAACTTTGTTTCTGTTTTTCAAAGGAGAAGAAAATGAGTTTCAACTCCCACATCTTCTCCTTGACATTATGTTGATTTAAGGACTTTGTTTCTTTAACAATAAAGGAAAGCAATCTGTGTGTGTGCATTTTGGCAATGCGTGGGGACGGCTGCAGCTCCAAGCTTGAGGGACCGCAGTTGGCTCGCATTTGCCTCGTGACCTTTGACCCACAGTTCCTTTTGTATTAACAAAGCCGGGTCTTCCCTGGAGGCTCTCAGTGGACATGGGCTGACATCCTCCTAGTATCTTCCAAGAGCACCGTGACACAGGAGCTAATGACACTGCCAGACATACAGACCAGGAAAGAAAAGATGGGACATGTGTCCAGGAGATGTGTTAAGGCAGAGGGGAGCAGCAGGGCCGGGCAGGACTTAGGTTTGCGGTGGGAGTGCTGCCCCCGGCCACCTTCCTGGAGCTGGCCCCCTATGGTCTCGGGCTGGGGTGTGTTCTCTCTCTCTGTGACCTGTTACCAGTGTGTCTAAACTTGCTTGTTTTTCTTTATGGCTTGGCTTCCCATTGCACTCCGACCCGGGGTGGGCCCAACCAACCCACTGCCCCCTGCCTGCCCGTCCGCCCTGCCCCGCGCCCACTGCAGTTGTGAAGCAGCGCATGCAGATGTACAACTCGCCGCACCGCTCGGCCCTCGGCTGCGTCCGGGTCGTTTGGAGGACCGAGGGCTTGAGGGCCTTCTACCGGAGTTACACCACGCAGCTGACCATGAACATTCCCTTCCAGTCCATCCACTTCATCACCTATGAGTTCCTGCAGGAGCAGGTCAACCCTCACCGGGGCTACAACCCGCAGTCCCACATCATCTCAGGTGGGCTGGCCGGGGCCCTGGCCGCGGCCGCCACCACCCCCCTGGACGTCTGTAAGACCCTCCTCAACACTCAGGAGAACATGGCCCTCAACCTGGCCAACATCAGCGGCCGGCTGTCGGGCATGGCCAACGCCTTCCGGACGGTGTACCAGCTCAACGGCCTGCCCGGCTACTTCAAAGGCATTCAGGCCCGCGTCATCTACCAGATGCCTTCCACTGCCATCTCCTGGTCCGTCTATGAGTTTTTCAAGTACTTCCTCACCAAGCACAAGCTGGAGAATCGAACTCCATACTAAAGGAACAGGCTGTGGGCAGTGATTCCAGAATCTTGTATTTTTCAAAGGTTTTCCCTGCCTGCTTCCACGCCCTCACTCTCACACCAAGATTATTTTCGCAGGGTGTTCTCAGGGTGGGCCTTCGGTCCCCCGACGCCTTACAGAGAGGAGAGGATGGGACAGCCGCTTTCCAGGAGGCCGTCCCATCCGCAGGGACATCCGAGGTGGTGGTAGGTGGGGAATGACTTTGGAAGGGGAATGTCTTCCTCTTTCCTCCCCTGAGAGGAATGTAGCTTTTCAGCTTCACTGGGGCAGGCCCCTCCCTAGAATCAGGTCACATGGGAGGCAAGAAAACGTGCAGTGACTGAACACATTAAAGCAAAAAGCAAACAAAATTATGTATATAAAAGTTCCAGGACACAGGATAAAATAGATGGATAATGTTTATTCTTTATTTTTCTATGTAGAAGTTTTTGGGTTTGTGTGTGTGTGCCTGTATGCGTGTACGACTAAGTGTGACAGCTGGGACTGCAGAGCTGTTTTTAGAAACAAGGGCTGAATTCTTCCATCGGCTTGAGTAAAAAGGCACCAAAGTCATACGTTGCTCAGTGTGGCCTGAAGTTGTGTTGAGCCCCCAAATGGAAGTTTCACTTGAATGTAAAATAGTAAATAAAAGTTTATATTTTGAATTTTTCCTTTTATGGGGAGCGGGGGAAACGTCCGATGAAAAAAATCAGAATAATATGTATGTTTCAGCTACTTTTTCTTCTTTCAGTCACCTTCGTGTGCCTTTAGCCTTTGTGTTTCCTTAAAATTCCAGGACCAGACACCTGGCCCTGGGACATTTTCTCTCGCTGTGCGCGCGCACACGTGCCGGGGGACAGCATCACACGCAGGAGGACAGGGGCCCCAGCAGAATTATGGTGACTAGGCTTACACCTGCTGAGACCATCTCCTTCCCTGGGGATGGGAGCGTGTGCCTCCCTGGGCCAGCACTTGGAAGCCCTTGAAATGCCAGCGTCTGGCTACTTGTTTTCAGGCAACTGGGATTAGTCCTTCCATTTCCTAGGACTGCTTTCTGCATCCACCTTTTAACTCAGGCGCTCCAGGTGTTCTTGTTTGTGTGTGTTTTGACTAAATCTCCCGATCTGTTGCCCTGTGCAGTTTTAGGGATTTCAAAAAACATAGCAAGTGTATCTACGACATTTGTCTGTCCCCCCGCCCCCGTCAGAGCCTCTCACTGAACAGTATAGAAGGCAGGCCCTCTGTCCAGGGCCCAGCTGCTGAATCGAGGCCCAGACCCTCGTGCACAAGTCAGGATGCCTCTGGAGCCTTCTTCAGCCTCCAGAGGTCCCCGTCAGCTGAGAACACGAGGCCTAACTGCCTTGTTTTCTGCAATGGTGAGTCTGAGCCAGTTTATCAGGGGGAGAGGGGGAGCCTAGTTCCTCTAGCTACAACTTTCCATTGGCTGCCAGACCTTCAAGGGAAGACCTAATGGCTTCCTTTCGGAGCCCAGCTTTTAAAGGGAGCTGGAGCACTAGTGTGCTTCATTCCCGAAGGCCAGGTCCCAGCCTTTGCCCTTGGCCCTTGGCCTTAGGCAGTCAGTGCTGAGCAGCTCACTGAGGCTCAGCACCTGGCTCCTGTAACTTCCTGGGGAGATCTCAGGTGGCACTGGGACAATTTTCATCGTGGGACCCTGCGCACAATGTTGGTAGCCTCAGACGAGGGACAGGAGAGCGGCGTGGGCAGCTCCCATGTGTGCCTATGAGCAGGGCCATTCTCTGGGCTGGGGGCTCAGCTGCTAGCCTGTCCCACCTCAGGGTTAACACCCCAGTGGAAACCACTTGCAGTAAGTATCTGTCCCCCTCAGGCTGCAAAATCCCATGGAGACCATGCTGTTGTAGGAAGTGTTTACATCTCTAAACGTCCTGTGTTAGTGTTAAATTCTGTGAGTGGAAAAAAACATCGAATTCTAAAATAATTATCTACCTCTCCCCCCTTTTTGTCCACTTAAGCTTACCACATTGGTGCATGTTTCTTTAAGTTCATATCGGATTTTGTTCTTGATATTATTCAGAAAAGAAGCTGTTCATTTCTCTGAGAAAACTCCTTGGGGTGGGGAGATGCAAGAAGCAGAGGAAGGGGGTGGACTGCAGAGGTCTGGGCTGTCGGGAGGTCTGGTCTTGACCTTCCTCACTGTATGATGGATCCACTGGGAGGTGGGGGTGATGCCACTTGTCTTCCTGCCTTTCCCACTGGGTCTCCCTGGGGTTGAATGAGTACTAAACAAAGATAGTGGTCGCTGGGGAGGGAAGGAATTAATTTTCCCCCACTCGCCCTGAGCTCCAGAGTTTGTATTGTTGCCTCATGCAGGCTGCAATCTACTTGCTGATCGTGACTTTGTCATTATGAAGCACTAAACAGGGAAGTGTTCTCCCCACCCCCAGGGACGGCCAACAATGTAATTGTGGCATATACTTGGTTGTTAGTATCTTTGGAGTGACATTGGCAGGCAGGCAATGCCACTTGAGTACAGTACTCAGCACTGTGTGTGTGTGTGTGCACGTGTGCATACGTGTGCATGTGTGTGCTCAGACCATGCGTGTGCATGTGTGTGCTCAAACCATGATTTGAGATTCAACCACATCAGTTTTATTTTTTAATAAAAAATTGATTTTCTTTTTTTTCCAAATGGGGTAAATGTTCAATCCATGACTATGTTTTTAAAATTTTGGGTTGAGTCTAGCTATTTACAGGCCTGCATCCTTTTGTCTGGTTTCTTTTTTTAATGCTGATCTTACTCCAAGCCCCGTCCCCCAAAGGCTGCATCTCCAACACATTGCTATGCCAGTAACTTTATTTAAGGACGATTGTGCCCGTTAAATGCGAAGGTTCTGCTGCTTCCTACCCGCTGGGCGCACCTTGTATGTTATAAGGGTGTTGTTTCTTAACCGCCTGCAGTAAAATGTGGTCGTTCCTGCCTCAATTGTTGCCAGGTGTTTGAAGGGGGAGCTGTGTGTTTATGTAGGGGAGGGGTGTTCCTGATATGCTGCTGCTACAGTTGTGACACTGGAGCTAGAGAAAAATAAAGCCTTGGTCTTTGAAGTGTTGTGGGCTCTGTGAGCGGAGAGAAGCAGCGAATTCGTGGGGCTTGTCCCCATTCCAGCCTCGCCTGTCAAGGACCGGGGTCTGTGGCAGAAAGGTCACTGTCCGCCCTCCTATGAGAATGGGAGCTGGTTGCCAGGGCGGCCAGCCCAGACAGGCACGTTACCGTGTCCCGACAGGGCCTGTGCTCCGCCTCTGGCCTTGCTCATCATGCAGGGCGGGGCCAGCTGTTGTCCCCTAGTGTGGGAGCGTGTGTGCGACAGGCCCCGGGCGCGTGGCGTGCCAGCCCTGCTCATGCTATGCTCATGCCCGTTTCCCTCACACACACTAACCCCTGCGGAGGGTCAGTCACAGTCCCTCTAAGTGCAAGGCCCCGAGGGTGATCGGAATCCACAGTGCTTCCTAAAGGCCCCAGAGAGTGAACCCTTTCCCGGGGTGGGGTGGGGCTTCATCCATAATTGCCAAAATTGGAAGCAACCAAGGCTCCCTTCAGTAGGCAAGTGGAGAAATAAACTGGGGCCTGTCCAGACAATGGAATGTATTTCAGCACTGAAAGGAAAGGAGCTGTTGAGCCATGAAAAGACACAGAGGAACCCAAAATGCATATAAGTACTTGAAAGAAGCCCATCTGAAAAGGTTACGTACTGTATGATTCCAAGTAGATGGCATTCCCGACAAGTCGGAACTATGGAGAGAGCAAATCAGTCCACGGTTGCCAGGAGTTAGAGGGGAGGGATGAATAGACACAGATACATAGATGCGATAGAGACAATCGGGAAGGGAGCACGGGCTCGGGCCAGTGAAACGACCCTGCATGATATCTGATGTGGACATAGGTCACTATACGTTTGTTCTAACCCATAAAATGTGTTACACAAAGAGTGAACCCTATGGACTCTGAGTGATGTGTTAATGTAGGTTCATCAGTTGTAGCAAATGTACCACTTTGGTGGGGGATGTTGATAATGGGGGAGGCTATGTATGTGTAGGGTCGGGGTGTATGGGAACTCTCTACCTTCCTCTCAATTGTACTATGAACCAAAAAGTGTTCTAAAAAATAATGCATATATATATATATATATAGTTTAGTCATATAGACTCTACTATAAAAAAGGGCCACAGAAAAACCACATCGTGTACAATGTGAAAATAAGGGCATTGGTGCCCTCACATCTCCCAAGCTGCAGTTACTCAATCTGACCTGTTTAGTTTCAGGCACTGTGCTGGGCCTGGGTTCAACCCAGAGCAACAGTTCTCACTCAGAATTTAGGTAGACATTTAGGCAAATTATTTAATTGCCATTGCACTGAGCTGTAGCAATTAAAAACATATATAACAAACATTAAAAGGGAGTGAAATACACTCATATCCATCATTTTCCTATCCAAACTTCCTGGAGTTTTATATTTTATTTGTAGTTTAGGAAGCGAGAAGTGAAGTACAGTGAGCGATTCTTCATGGCGGGCCGGCTGAAAGGCCTGTGAAGATGCTCTTCCGAATCTTACATAAAAAGCACGTAAGCGTATTTTGGTGACAGACTTAAGAGGCTGGATGAGACGCTATCATGGGCCATTGCAGCTGGAGGAACAAGCACCAGCCATCTGGCCCAACACTTTCGTTTTCAGGGTGAGGAAACGGTACACTGGAGAGAGGAAAAGATATGCCCGAGATCATTCAGGATCAAGCAAACATTTAGTGACCTGCAGGGCTAGTGCTCGGGCCTCTGGCCACTCTGACTGATCTGCCGTGTGCTCAGTGGGTAAAATGGGCCAGAGAAAAATTACTTCATCAAACCAACAACAAGACAATTATCCTTGTGTTGGTGTTCACTGTAAGGTCTGCTTTGCAAACTTGGCTTTCAGGAACATGCAGATCTTAAAAGAGTTCTGCTCTAGAGGCCAAGGTGGAAATTCAAGAGAGCATCAATAAATATTGTTATTTATCAAGTCAAATCGGTCAAAATAACCTCTTCAACATAGAAAGCTGGATCAGACCAATCCTGAGAGTAAGAATCTAAGAACATTTACAAATGAATCAGTGCTTTTGGTCATTTTACATGGGGACACCACGAGCCTTAAAACCTCGCGTTTCATTTTGTGTGAAGGAAGTTTTTCTACCGTGATGACTAATAGGCTCAGGACATGTCCAGTCTTCCCATTCAGAACATTCTTTTTTTCTTGGCTGCTCCTCCCAGTATGGCTGCTTTCTCAATACTATTATATGACCCTCTTAATGTGTAATTTACCCAGATTTTACTCATATTATGAGCTTGAGGGGACACATGAGAGGGAGACATACATGACGATTGGCCCTCAGATCCTGCACTGTGCCTAAAGATTGTGAACTGATAGGGTTTCATTGTTATGGTCACAAACTAAACCAAGGATAAGATTACTAGTCGTGCTAAAGAAGCTGCCAGCACTTGGGTCTTACCAGCCACCAGGCTGCTGGTGGTGGTTTCAGTCTTGGACCTAAGGCTGTTGAAATTTTGACATTGCCTTGAGTCCTCGGGTATTTCTCTTGTCAAGGACTTTCATTATTGAAAGTGCTCACCGTAAAGCTGTGCCAATTAAGATCTTGAGAA